GGTAGAAATGGCGGGCGGCGATCGCTCGTATCGCATCGCAGAGCGGCAGGTAGGGTAAGTTAAGTCACTCCTGCGCAGTAACAGTCGCAGTCGGTGTTCACTCTGCGGGCTCCAACAGCTTGCGCATACCAAACTACGCACAATCAAAGACCACGCGTTAGTTTCACTCTGCCTCAGCCACAAACATCGCCGCATCGCATGGGGGATCGCCGGCCCTGGTACCACCTCGCATCGCAACCCTTTTTGCCTGGCGCACGCTGCTGATAGCCTGATACGAGGGCGAGGGCGGCCGCTCGGGCCTAGTGCAAGGAACGTGAGCGCCGCTGTGCATGGGTTGATGGTGGTGATGGTATTTCCCGATGACCTCACCGTGACCCGCCCAGCCTCTCGGTAACTAAACGAACGGACTGCGAGCAACCGAGGGGGGCGTGACTGTGGAGACTGTAGTTTAATTGGATCGAATGGGGTAAAGTTTGCTTGGGTGGGTGCTTCGTTCGGTGTATATCCAGGATGAGCGAGACTGGGGCGTGCAAACGGGCGTGCGATCATCGTGCAGTGTCTTTCCCTTGTCTTGTGTCTTTGAGTTTGTCGGCTGGCACCTGCTTGCTTTCTACACTCTCGATTCTTTCGGGACTTTTTGCTCGCTTCGCTCTCACTTCACCTTTTCTACGAGGGCTCCACTATAGTCGTCGACGCTGCGATCTTGACACCGACTGCAAGGATTGATTGAGCTTTTCTGGTATCGCCTTTTCACCGAGCAAGGGACCCTTCTGGTACACGCGCATTATGCCTACTCTCAGGTGGATGCGCGCTGCTGCTGTTGTTGCTCTTGCGACACACGCTATTGCTCAGAAATGCTGTAAGACCTACTTGACCTCATCGCCGAGCAACAACTAATCAAACAGACTACCCCAATGGCGAAGAGGCGGCAAAATCAGAAAAGCCCTGCTCGTCAGTAGAGGGTTCTGCTTGCTGTCCTGATACCTGGGAATGCTTGGACAATGGTCTCTGCCATTTACCGGCCGGCAACCTGTACGGCAGATACAGCTGTACGGACAAGGACTGGAAAGCAGAAGGCTGTGCCTCGAACATGTGCACAATCAGTAACGGCGGTAAGTACCTCGAATTCTCCAATTGATCATTGCTAAGATCCAGCAGATGTGAAAGCTGTTGGAGGCGAGTCGATCACACAATGCAAGGACCACGATGACCAGTGGTGCTGCAACGCAGACGCCGTAAACGTAAATTGCTGCAAGGAATCACCATCGCCACGACCCTTCTTCGCGCTGCAGGATGGAAAGGCGTATGCGACCATTGGCCAAAATCAAGCTTCGACTGCTCCTAACCTTGCGACTATCACCGGTCTGGCGCAGAGCGGCGGTGGATCAGGAGGAGGAAACCAAGCATCGAAGACGACAGCAGGAGGGTCTTCAGGTTCTCCCTCTACCGACGCTCCCAACTCCGGTTCAGCGACTGCAACGGCCGATGACGCCGCGACCACGCCCTTCAGTTCCGTCATCCAAAGCCTCTCCACCAGCGCCGGCGGCGGCGTCGTCACAATCCAAAACACCGTCCTCGTAACCCCGACCCCAACCGCCGGCTCCAGCTCCTCCTCCAACGACTCCTCCTCGTCCTCCTCCGGCGGCTCAAAATCCAACCTCGGTCTCATCATCGGCTGCGCAGTCGGCATCCCCCTCGCCCTCGCCCTCGTCGGCATAATCTTCTGGCTCCTCCGCAAGCGCCGCCAACAAAAAGCCAACCCCTACCACGACCCTTCCTCCGAAGTCGAAGGCGACAGCCCTCTTGTTGGTGGTGCTGCTGGAAAACTCAACAAGAGCAAGAAAGAAACATACCGCAACTCGCGCCCCGCGACCGCGGAAATCGACGGGAACCCAATTGGCGCAGGGCGCGCAAATCGCGTGTCTGAATTACCGTCTGGAAACGGGTTTCAACCGGGTCATCAGGGCACGCCTTACGGACCCGACGCCGTTGGCATCGGAGGCGGAAACGGAGATCCGAATAGGACGACTTGGGATACTATTCCTCCGCAGTACTCACCCGCACAAGCTGCTTTTACGCATCCCGAGGCTATGGAGCTGGCGGATACAAGCGTCAACCCTGTTCTTAATGAAAAAGGACAACCGTATCAGGCGTATAGGCCGCCGCAGCCTGTGGCGGAGCTGCCGAGTGTGACGACGCCGCCGGAGGATGTGGAGAAGCAGATGCATCATCGGTAGAGCGTGGATATGACACTGGGTTGGGGCGTTTTGGGAGTATACACAAAGGCATGGGATATGGGGCATTTCGGTCTTCTTTTTCGTTCTTGAAGCAAAATATAGGGATGATACCATGCACGGATTCTTTTCGTGTGTAATGAGTACGGTTTTCTTGAGCTGGAAGGTAGAGGGAGATGGGGAGGGAGATAGTGATCTAATCTTGAAATGCGAGTTTCAGGTAACTACCTAGGTATGTTGAATCTCCAAACTTCCGATAGACCTCAATCTTCTATCTTTTCGCGTTTCAGTCGATTATTGTGCAGTGTAACTACGTTGATAACACCACCCATGTAACAATCGTGGATCTTACGCAATATATTTACGCTCAATATACTCAGATATCAACCTCCCTTTTCGGTGAGCTTGATGAGCAAAGGCGGTGTGTGGGGAAAGGGCAACGAGTCATGGGCCGAGGCGGCATGTCGTCAGCCCTTGAGCCCTTGAATCTCGACCCTGAGATGCGATAAACGTGTCGCATCTGCCATTGCTTCCGACATACAGACTACAATCATCATCCGTATATCTACACATACTGTTAGAGTGTTACACCTTCCTCAAGAACCATGATACATCTCCCTGACGAGCTGATCCTCCACATCATTTCCTGTAAGCATCCGTGCCCATCACGCGCATCCCCCACCCAGCCCTGACCCTCCCCAGACCTCGAACCCTCGGAGCTCGTCGCCCTCCAACACGTGTCGCGCCGCTTCCTCAACCTCTCGCGCGACAACAACCTCTGGAAGTCGCTATGCTTCACCCACTCGGTCGCTGAGCGCCGTCGCCGCCGTCTCGAAATCACCACCGACATCGACCCCCGCCTCGCCGAGCTGATACGCGCCGCCGACACTCTCGCCAACACCTTCGATACCTCTGTTCACGATGAGAGCGCGCCGAGTGCCGAGTCACAGCAGGAGCGCAATCAGGAGAAGCGGAGGCAGGCGCTGATTGCGAATTGGGATCCTAGTTACCCTGACGAGAAGGTGAATTGGTACCAGGACTTCATACAGCGCCATGCCGAGCAGAAGATTAGCTGGTTCCAGGATGCTGGGACGGAGCAGAGAGATGAGGGGGGCATAAGGAGGGAGGCTACGGGTGCCGGTATTCTATTCGACGACGATGGCCTAGCAGACAAGCTCATCGCCCCCCTCGACGATGGCAGTATCAGCATCTGGGACGCCTCAGCGAGCAGCGACCGACAAGGCAAGATGATAGCGAAGAGCGACATCGGGCTGTTGCCAGGCAGAGGTTCAGACCTCGACTACGACACGCGCCTCACCCAGAGCCAAGCCATCATGACAGAAACCGGTGCCGTGGAATGCGTAAGCATCGACAGCAAACTCCACAAAGGCTTCTTCGCCGTCAAAAACGCCCTCAACGAAGTCGACCTCAACACCCTCCAAGTCGTCTCGCGGACGCCGTACCCCTTCCCCATCACCGCCCTCTCCGAAGCCCACCACCGCACCCCGCTCACAGTCGGCACAAACTGGACGCTACACCTCCACGACTCGCGCAAACCGCCCGCCCCGCCTTCCTCCGTCCGCTGCGAGCTCATCGGCGGCCCAACCGACAGCGACTTCTCGCGCCTCGACACCGGCGACTTCGACGGCCACGTCTCGCTCTCCCAGCCCGGTGCGCTGTCTATACTCCACCTACCCACAACGCGCGACTGGGATGGAAACGGCGATATCTGGGTCGCAGGACGCTTCACCAGCATGTTGAACTTTGACCGGAGGTCTTTCCCTCGGTTACGCGGTACTGTGCATTCTGGCGCGAGACTGTCGTGTATCACGGCTATACCGCATCCTTTCGTACCACAAGATCTGAGATTGGGTAGACCGTACAGCAGTCCGGCATTGTTGCGCGAAACGAAATCGACACGCGGGTATACGTTGATCGCAGCGGGTGAATACAAAGGCAAAGGCTCGCTCGAACTATACGGCCTCTCGAATGAACCTTCTCGTTCTATCAACTCGAGCGACAGCCGCACGACGCGCAACCAGAAAGCGTACTATCAGAATCGGCAGACGGCTAGTAGTTCCAAGTTATTGGCTGTCGCGCCGCAGGGCACGAGACTTGTTTTCTCGGATGGAGACGGCAATTTGAAGTGGGTTGAACGGGATGGGAGTACGCCCGTCCGGCAGTTCAACATTAATGATTTTCAGAGGGGCAAGGATGGGGAGGCTGTAACGGAACGTCATCATAGTAGTCTTGTTAATGCAACGCCGGACGAGGAAGCGGGGTGGGGTGATATTGTGCAGAAGATATTGCCTACGACGAACGGCTCACTGCTTACACCTTACTCGACGGCTTCTTCTGGGACTGAGTCTCTCGGTCTGAACAATCTTGTTTTGTGGACGGGAGATGGCAAGTTGGGGCTGCTGGGCTTTGGCAAGGAACCGCCGATGGCGAGGGATGTTTTTGAGGATGCGTTGGAGAGGCAGGGTGATGGGGAGGAGGGAGGGGAGAAGATGAGGGAGAGAATGTATGGGGTTGAGATGAGGAGGGCGCTTGAGCATCAGGCGAGGGAGTTGAGGTGGTTGAGGGGGTATGGACTGTGAATAAGAAGGGCGGAACATTCACTCAGAAAGAGCCTGGTTTGTATTGTGGTTCCTTGGGGGTGGTGCTGGTGCCTGGTAGGTTCCTGGGTGGTATTTAGGGCTTCGCTCCTGCCTGGGTATAAGCATTGTTCGTTACCTTGAACGGTTCTCTACTCAACCACCGAAAATGTCAGTCAACGCTTACGCCTCACCCATTGCTCTCGGCGACTCGAAACGCGCGAACCCAGACAAACACTCCTTCTTGGAGCTACCAGGCGAAATCCGCAATCAGATCTACGATTACGTTGTCAAATGTCCGACACCGCTTGAAGTAAAATACTACGGAATAGAGCCTTGGACTTGCGATCTGGGTCTATGTTTCAACGGCCAGTCACGCATCCCGATCAATCTCTTCCTCTCCTGTCGAAAGATATACCATGAGGCCGCTTCATCTTTCTACGCCAACAATACATTTACCTTGAAACCGGATATCAGACGTTCAACATGCCACTCCTACGCTGAGATATCTAGCACCTTCATCACTCGCTTAGGCACTCAAGCTCAGTGGCTCGCCAAGATAGAACTTGATGTGCGCTCCCTAGCAGATTACCGATATCACAGAATTGACGAGGGGCTTGGCTTCGTATTCAACGATTTGACCGAGCTTTTCGATGTTACTACTCTCCTTCGCGCTATCTGGAGTCGAGACTCGCCGGTGCTTGTTTCTTTCACCAGGTCGCCAGATTCCAGTACTTTTGAGTGTGACGCTACGGCCGTGACTGCTATCTTCCAATCTATCTGCCAGGGCCAACTTGGACTTCGTCATTATGGACAGCAGCTGCGCGCGGTTGCGCTGAAGCGAGATGGATCTGGCGGGATACTCAACTGGGGGACTACTCCAGCTACCGCTAAATCATACCAATGCCCAGGTCGTTTCCAAGCGAACCCTGATTACCTGACAGACTTCACCGCTGAAGACAACGGTTCTCGGCTCAAGCTTATCTCGCAACGTAGCGAACCCTTAACTTTGCTCACCCTCCCTGATTCTATCCAGGACCGCATCTTCAGCATAGTCGTACACCCCATCCAGGGAACAAGCATCGATCTTGACAATGATACGAATTTCGACTGCGGACTCATCCACGTCAACAGACACTTCTACCGCACTTGGCGCGACAAGTTTCTCTTCGAGAACACGTTCATGTTGACCATGAGCACAAAGCAGATACAAACCACATTCGACGACTTCAACCATCTCCGGACCTTCCTCCGCAAGACCTACATGCCCAAGTCGACCTACTCAAATGGAGAGCCAGACACCATTACCGCGAGGATCGTCACTCGGGATAAGGCGCATCCACAGCCCGGTCCGTCGTACGTTCTGAGATTTGAGATGGACAGGGAAGTCTCGCTGGCCGATGTGCGTATTAATGCGTTACCACTCGTAATGGAGACGTCGACTACGCAAGCATCAAACACAGTCACGATCCAAATTTGGACGACGCCTGGCACTGAGGGACCAGCAACCATGACTGCATCTCATACCATGACACTCCACCAGCTGCGACTCAAAATCGTCTTAGCGATTATGCGCCATGTGTATTCCATCCCAACGTTCCACCGAGACGAACTCCCAGATTTCTGGATCAACGGCTTCGGAGACGTCGTTCCGACTCCTCCTTTTACTACTACCACTACCACTACCACTAATACCCGTGTACCATGCAACCCCACCGGACCATGGCACCCAGCCTCCACACTCATATACAACGCCGACTGGGACGAAGACAACTATTCCATCTCAGAGCTCCATCCCATCGACTACGTCTACCGCAACAACGGCTGGGGATTCCATTCACAATGTGTGTATCCGGATAGTATACATTGGCAACTTTTTCCGTTTTGCAGGCGGACGAAGGAGGTGCTGCCGTATCTTGTGCGGTGTCTGGATGAGGCGGGGTTGCCCGATGACGATGACGATGACGGGATTTTTGGACAGTAAGTGCTGATTGTTGATTTGTTGATTTGTTGATTGTGAGTGGGAATGTGCTAATGGAGAGTAGGCTTAGAGATACGGTTGTGATGTGTGAGTGCGCCGAGTGGGGGTTTTGTCCGCGTGAAGAGAGGGATAGACAGTTTTTTGAGAGGGGTTTTTAGGGATTTGGGGATGAGGGCTGGTGGCTACATCGCTGGATTTGAGGCTGTGGGTCAAGGCATGACGAGGACTGGAGAACATATTGTGGCTGAAGAAGCGAATCTGCATTCATGAGTAGAGTCTGGAGAATTCAATGGGACTATGTTGTTGTGGAACGTGCTGGGACATCATGATGTGTGCTTAGTAACTAGCGTTGTCGCGTCGCGTTCGGAAGCAAATCAGGGTCTGTACGCGTCACTTCGACACTTCGATTGCCGACAAACCTCACATGTCACCATGACCAGATGTCGCTTTCTTGGGTGATTGATGTATCGCATTTCTGTCGATGATCGTGCGCATGTATGTGCGCTTCACTCGCTCGTTTCGGCGGCCGTCGTTTATGATGGCGTCCAAGCTCAGGACGATGCGGCTTCCCCAAAAAGTTGCGAGCTCACGATGAGAAATCTACGTCACTGATGGCTACCACACACTGAAGGCGTTGCAGTGCCTCATTTGATCTTTCATGCTTTCAAAACTTCCTACTAATGAAGCAGACACTCTCGGCTCGGTAAAGTCAGGTCGCCACTGCCTTGAGGGTCCTGATGCCTAGCGTACGTCTGGTTTATATACACCCAAGCTTTACCTGGAGGTACAAGAACTACCGCCAACTCGGCCAACTTCTCCCCAGGTTTCTGCATTGACCAAGGAACTCAACCCCAGCAGTACGATGGACGACCAGAAGCTCCTACCCCCTCTCGCGCGCGGCGACTCGAAGCGCGCAAACTTAGACAAGCTTTCGATACTCGATCTACCGGGCGAGACTCGAAACCAGATATTTAGCTACTTGCTCAACTTTCAGGCCCCACTGGATGTATATCACGAGAGATATCATTTGGATCAGAATGGTCGGCTGCAAATGCGTCTCGGCAACGGCGTACGGATTCCTGTAGCTCTCTTTGCATCGTGTCGAACGCTGTATCGTGAAGCAGTTTCCGCCTTTTACTCTGGCAATACCTTCGCCATAGGACTCGACGGCGGCGGCATTCTGTACCCTATACCATTCAGCCGTGGTTATAACTTTCCCATGGGATCCAACAGCTACTACTCTCCGAGTACCGCAGCCCCACATCGCGTTCCCATCGAATTGCCTGGCGCTTTCTTCGCACATCTTGGTACGCAAGCGTGCTGGCTTAAGAAGATTGTGCTTGACCTCATGGATCTTCCGAACGCAAGCTTTTACAAAGGTAGTTCGCTCAGGTCGCTTCCCGAGAATATTGCTCATGACGATGGGCTCGCATTATTCAAAATCACGCCTGTCCTGCGCGCTATTTGGAGTACAAGACGAGATATCGACTTCTCCTTTACCCACAGCAAGCGTTTGCCAATCCTAGGCCCCTCGGGTTTGGCATGCAACGCCACAGCCATGAGCGCTATGGTTCGCTCTATTCTAGAAGGTCAGCTACGATTACGAACATACGGTCGGCTGTTATGTGTGGTAGCCCTGGACCGGAATGGCGCTGGAGGTATAGTCGGTTGGGGCACCACTAACCCCATATCGTCAGACGCGTCTCCCACACGTGGACAAATCTGCGCCGACATGTATTTCGTTTCTAGTTTCATCGCCAAGGATGGTGGCCATCGATTGGAAATGAGCAAGCGAAAGAAGCCGCTGAATCTGCTGGACTTCCCCCACCCCCTTCTCGATCGTATCCTCAGTATGGTCGTGCACCCTAGTGAAGGCTATCGAGTCAACCTGGGCAAAGATAACAAGATCAACTGTGGTCTCATTCACGTCAATCGGAAACTTCATAAACGGTGGCGCGATGAAGTACTCTTCCGGGACAATTGCTTCGAGTTAGTCTTGACGACAGACTGCGCGCGTACCGACTTCGATCAGTTCAAGCATTTGCGAAGATCTCTCAGGAAGACGTATGATACTCGTACCTTCTATGTCGAAACGCGGACTCTTGTTACCGGCGGGTATCTCAATAACAAAATGCGGTATACTCTCAAGTTCGAAGCAAACGATCCCATCTCACCAAGCGAAGTCCGCATCAGCATCCTCCCCCTGGTCATGGAGACGTCTACTACTCGTGGAGACGACGCAGTCACGATCGAAGTCTGGGTTAAGAACAGCGAGGGAATATCCAGCCTAGCCACTTCACATACCTTGACACTCCACGAGCTGCGCGTAAACATCGCTACCGTCATGATGAAAAACTTTTATCTGACAGGAAACAAACTCGTACCAGACTTCTGGATCAACGGATTCGGAGAAGTCGTGCAAGTCGAGGACGCCGATGAGAAGATGCCTGTCGTGGGCGGGGCTTGGGAGCCAGCTTCGGAGCTCACAGATTTCGATGGACATGGGTTCAAACTATCGAGGTTACATCCTATCGACATTCATCACCGAGGTAATGAGACACCAGCGAGGCCTGTTGTTCATTTTGTAGAATCTCAATTCTTCCCGTTCCGAAGAGAGGTTAAGGAGATTCTGCCGTACCTCATCAAGAGTATTGAAACGACGGGAGGGCCGGACAGGAACATGTTCAGTCGGTGAGTGTTTACTTGCACACGATCGTTTTCTTTGTATACTGATAAGTTCCCAGGTTGATGATGACGCAACCATTTCATTACAAGGAGCTCAAGGAGCTCAATACGGACTACGGAAGTGACGATATGGACGCTGTAGAGTAAGCTTCGAAGCTTGCGGCTGAGTAAAGGGAATATTTGAGAGTATGTAGATGTTACTTCTGTAGCGTGCGAGAGAGGATTGTTCCCTAGCCTTCCGAGCTTAGGGTGTTTACATAGTTGTCTGGGCCGCGACAAGGTGTATCGCGGTATGCGGACTCGGAAACACGAGTTCGACAGATACATAGCAAGGGAAACAACACAAATTATGTCGATACTTGCAGATTGTCGCGGCTATAGCATTATAGAGTGCGCTATTCTTGTAACATACGTTAGCTTAGTCTATTTTGTTATTACACTCTTAGAATAATAATATTTATTCTTTATTACTAATTAAAGTACTTAAACTAAATATAACTAATATTTATTTAATACTTATAACTAAATTTTTTAACTTAATTTACTACTTTATAAAAAACTTTTTATAACTTTAAAAACTAAAATTATAAGCTATATACTAAACTTTTTTTTTATATTAGCTATAAATACCTAATCTTTTTTATATAAATTCTTTACTATACTTTAGTAATTTTTTAGTATTTAAAGCTAGCTAGTTTATAGTAGAGTACTAAGCTTATACTTTCTAAAAACTACGTATATATAAAAATAAATATAAAATCTCTTTATTATATTTATTAAGTAAAAATCTAAATTTTAAGTAGTAATACTTATAGCTTAAAAAGCTACTAATTTTAAAAAAATAAGAACTATTACTAGTACTCTAAAAAATATATAACTAAATCTTTTACTTACTTTTAAAAGTATAGTATTAAGTAAGCTAAAGCTTAAAGCTTTAGTACTACTATTTTTAAAGTAGTTAAAGCTTTTAAATTTTTTAAGCTTATAAAGTAGCTATTTTAATACTAAGTACTTTATAAAAGAATTATAATACTAAATACTTTATAAAAAGACTTTATAAAAGAATTATAATTTAATTATATATACTTATTACTAATAAAGTAATATATTTTAAAACTTTATAGTTAGAATATATATACTAGAAGTCTAGTAAAAGTATACTTTTTCTATCTTCTATATTTATATATTTATATACTAAATTAAGCTAAAGATATAAGTAGCTTAAAGCTAATACTAAAAGCTATACTACTTAAATAAGTCTTTAACTATATTTTTACTTTTTATAAGTTCTCTTACTAATTATAAATTAGATACTAATTTTATTACTAGTTATATTATTTTACTATTTAATTAAAGCTTAAATAAGTTATTTTCTTACTACTATATTAATTACTTTTTTTATTACTATACTACTATTACTAAAGCTTTTATAAATTACTTTAAGTTTACTAAAAAGAAAGCTATTAGAGTAGCTATTTTAAAAGCTATTTTTATAGCTATTTTATAAAAAGTTATCTAAAATATAATACTTAATATTTTAAATACTTTAAGAAGTAGTTTAAAATACTTAAAAAGCTATTTTAGAGATACTATATTATTTACTATATTTATTAAAAATCTTATTATTAATTTTATTATTATTATAGTTTTATAAATATATTTACTTAGAGTAAGACTATTTATTATATTATTTACTAACTTTACTATTAAGAAACTTTTTATTACTAATATATATATATTTTTCTATAAACTTAAGTAAATATTTAATATAAATTAGCTTAATTATATTACTATAAATATATATAAAGTTTATAATATTTATATTTATACTTTTATATATAAACTAGTACTAACTATAGAACTATATTTTTTTTAAACTTATCTATAATACTATTACTTTATAAATTAAAGCTTTAGGTAAAATTCTTAGTTAGCTTAATAAGCTATTAAGTAAAGAAAAGAAAGTATTTATAGAAAGTTTCTTAAGTATTACTATACTTAAATAAATAGAAGCTATAATAGTTATCTAGAATTACTCTTAAATAAGTAGTTATTTTTACTAGCTAAATAGTTAATATAGTATTACGTTATAGTTAATAAAGAATAAATATAGCTAGTTCTATTAGTAGTATACCTATTACTATATATTATATTATTTCTAGTTATAGTATAAAAAAAGTTATATAGATAAGTATAAAGTTAGTTTATAAATCTTTAGCTTTATTATAAAGCTAAAATAAAAATAACTATATTACTATAGTAATATATACTAAATTAATATTAAAATTATTTAGTAGTTTTAAAAGAAACTAGCTTAA